AACAGGCGACTGGATGGGGATCCTGCCTTTGCACCCCCCTTCCCAAAGGAAAAGTAACTTTTGGGTGCAGTCAGTGGCAAGTACAGCTCCATCACTATCCCCGGGGCTGGATCCTGCTGGCATCACCTCATCCCCGTGCCACCGTGATGCAGCTGGATCCTTTCACTTGCTGGAAAGCCCTGGCTTGCAGGGCTGTGGTGATGCTTGCCCTTGGATCATGGTGGGATCAGGGTGGCACAGGGCCGGAGGGAAGGCAGGAGCTGTGTCCCAGGGGCAGGGTGGGTTCTGGAGGTTGGCAGGGCCAGGGGACCACCACCCAGCAGTGGGACAGGCATGCCTGGCACCCAGGGTGGGCCAAGACTTGAGCAAGGACAGGCTTTGATGGATGTGATATGACAGGGAGAGCAGATCTCAGATGGCTGGAACGGCTCCTGAGCGGCATCAATCCAGCCGTAATGAAAAGTCATTATGGATTGAAATGCCACCGATGGGGAAGCGCCTCCCTCTCATCGATAGCGTGGCACTGATGCAGTGGCACATGCCAGGGAGAGGAAGGTGCCATGGAGGAAGGCTTGGTCACGGCGTGGGCCACTTTGTTATGGGGATGGAGCAGGTGGCTCTCAGGCAGGCTGTGGTGGCGCTCCAAGGTTGGAATAGAAACATCTGAAGGATGCAGATGTGGGTCCTTGCAGGTCACCTGCTCTATCACTGCCAGCAGCAGAGAGGTCCCTTTCTTGGAGCTCAGATGGAGGAGGCATCCCTGCCAAAGGCCTCTCCCACAGTACAAGTGCCATACCTCAGCCATTGTGCTGGACAAGGGGTTGGAAGGAGCCTGGGGCTCCCAGTGCTCAAGGGAAGGAGCAGGATTAGAGCTGGGATGCAGCTGGTAACACCATGGTTTGGCTTTAATGCTGGGTATGAGATGGAGCATGCCAGCACCCATCCTGCAGGGGCACCCACTTGTCCATGCCCAGGGCTGGCTGACAGACACACCTTCATGCCTGGGGACACCTTTGTCCAGGGCTGGCCTGACAGCAGCTGTCCCTCACAGGTGCAGCCCGTGGCCTGTGAGAACAGCGAGGACAGGAGCATCACCCGCGTGGACGAGGGGCTGGAGGATTTCTTTGCCAAGAGGCTCATCACAGAAACACTGCCGTAAGCTGGGGGTGCTCAGGGCCCCTCACCTGCCCAGCACACCCATCCCCAGGTTCCAGCAGCCTCCCTGCAAACGCTGCCGGGCCCAGTGCAAAAGGGGTGCTGGGGAAAGCAGCACACACAGGGATATCACCCAGGGCAGGGCTGGGGGAGGAGGAATGGGATGGCAGCCATGGTGTGCCAGATGTGGCCATGGAGTCTGTTCCACAGTGGGGAGGCAATGAGGCAGCACCCAGGGGAACAGTGCTGGGAATGGGTGCCCTTGCCAGGACACTGCCATCTCAGGTGGAGTGTCCAGGGTCTGGATCCATCCCTTTAGGATGGGCAGGGTGAAAAAACTGATCCCTTACCTCTTGGCAGCCTGGAGCTCACCTTCTCCAATGCTTCATCTCTTCCCCAGCCCTACAACTCCGGAGACCTGCCCGGGATCAGCCCCTCTGGCTCCCTCTGGTTCCCGCACCCTCAAGAAGAAAATTGGGAATTTTTTTGCCTTCAAGAAACCCAAATCCAGCCGGGGCTCGAGGTGTGAGAAGGAGCCCGAGGGTGGTCCCACTGCCCCTAGGAGCAGGCGCTCGATGCTCAGTGACATTTTACGAGCCCCCAGCAAGGCAGGCGAGTCAGGGAAGCCCCTGAGTAAATCAGAGGAGGGCGGGCTCTCTGCCGAGCCCCAAGCAGAGCCTGAGCACTGCCAGACTCCTGACTCTGCCCGGAGGATCCGGCCCAAGTACTCTCGGGAGGGCAAATCCCAGTCACTCATCTTGCTGTCCGGGGAGGACGAGGATGCGCTGGGGGTCAGGCATGACAAGGTAAGCACTGTCACAGTCACCAAGCCACCACCACTGTTCAGCTCCCCTGGTGGGGGCTGCTCCCACCCATGGACACTGGTGGGGTTACCAGGGGATGTGGGGACACTGGAGTGATGGCTGGGGATATCCCCCTGGGTCGTGTCCATGTCACCATCTCCTGGCAGCATGGCTGGGGTTGAGAATGTGGGTGCCCTGCAGGCAGCAGTGTGGGTGCCGCAGGTGCTGTGGTGGGTCCATGTTCCTGGCAGGGTTGTGTCTCTCCTGCAGAAGAGGCACCTGGAGAAGAGCGAGGGAGAGTTGTCCAGCTCCTTCGAGCAGCGTGTGCAGGTCATGCTCCATCGCATCGGCGTCACCAAGGGCCCGGCTGCTGAGAGCAAGAAGCAGCAGGTGGGGACTGGTTCCATTTTTGGGATGAACCCTGCCCCTCCAGGGTGGTAGGAGATGGTGGTCCATAGAATGGGGACATCTCCCCACTGGGAATGGCAGCACCCAGCTCTGCGCTGCCACTGCCCATAGCCTCTGCCCTGTCACCTAACCCTCTGCAAGGGGTGAATTCCTATGCACTGCATGGTGTCTGTCAGTCTGTCCCTCCTTTCCTGGCATGCACCCATTCCCTGCAGCCACATCAGAGCCTGGCAGCAGCACTCTGCCCTCTGCCCCCATTGTCTCTGTGGGCACTGCCTCCCCGATAACCCCCTTACCAGTATTTTTCCCCCTTGCAGAGCAAAGACAACGAGATCAAGAAAGCCGGCTCAGATGGTGAGGGGCTGCTCCCTCTCCACCCTGACCCCACCCAGCTGGGCACCCATGGGTGGCCATGGGCAGGCCCCTTGGGCTTCCTGCTGTGGGTCCCACTACATCTTTGCCTTGTTGGGTGCTGGTGGCACTGGGCAGACCCCAGCTCACTGCTGCTGCCCGGTGGCTTGTGCTTGCAGGGGACATCGTAGACAGCTCTGCAGACTCACCCCCATCCCTGAAGGCCCGCACACACTCTGTGTCCACAGGTGGGTCACCACTGCATGCTGGGGGGTCACACCAGCCCCTGGGGCAGAGGGCTTCATCCCCTCTCCTAGCACCAAGCATGGGGACTGGAGCCAACAGGGGACTGGTGGGCACAGGCACATGGGCAGAATTCCACCCTTGGGAGCGTGCCCTATGCCCATGGGTGCCCATCCCTGCTGTTGGCAGATGGCCACCAGCCCACTGCCCTTCCCTGGGCTGACTGCAGGCTAGTTCCCAGCACCAAGAACCATCCCTGGGGCTGTCACTTCTGGACGCCCACAGCTCCATCCTGCCTGCCCCACAGACGCACCCTTCCGCAGCCCAGCGGCCAGGACGGAGCCCAGCGCCGAGCCCCGGCCAGCCTGGAAAGCCCTGGGAAGGCAGCTGCCCGCTGAGCCTCCGGCCACCAGCTCCGATCAGCCCCGGCGCTCCCTCACCCTGGCAGAGCCCAGCGGGCTGCCGGAGCCTGGGGGCCGGGAGGGCTGGAGCAGCAGCCTGCCACGGTTGGGCAGGAACGTGCCAGTGGCACTGCCACGGAGGGTCAGCCATGGTGGGGAGGTGGGTGCTGGCACCCTGCCCACCCCGCCCAATAATGAAGGTAGGGATGCACGAGATGCCCATGGGTGCTTCATTCCACTGCTGGCCTGTTGTTGGAGCCCTTGGGATGGAGGGCAGCAGGGAGCCAAGCACACGGTGGGTGCTGGGTGCTGATGGGGCTTGACAGGTGGAGTGCTGTGGGCTGTCCTCCAATAGCACCTCCCCATTGCTTACACAGACACCCGGCTGATGGCACGGCTGGCAGCGCCACGGGGACCCGGCCGCCGAGCACTGTCCGTCCACGAGGAGCAGCTCAGGGAGCCCGAGTGCCCGGCCGAGCTGGGAAGTAAGTTGTGTGTGAAGTGGGACCCCAAGCCCTCCTTGCACCTAACACTAACAGAGCTGGGTGGTGGTGTTCCACATGCATGCTGGCGCTGCCTCTTCTAGCTGGTGGGTGATAGACAATGGCACTGCCATAATGGGAAGTTCTTGAGGGGAATTCAGTATGGGGATCAGTTCCAGCAGGTGCCAGGCCACTGTACCCCACCCTAACATGGGCCTGGGTTTTGTTTCCCCCAGTGGGCACCGTTCCCCTGCGCCTGCGGCGTTCGCCTGTGCTCAGGCACAGGACCAAGCACGAGTCCCTCTCAGAGATGGAGGGTGAGCCTGGACCAACCTCGGATGCTGAAGGTGAGACGTTCCCCTCCCTGCTAAAGCAGCTGTTGGGGTACCAAGGGTCCCCCCATGCTCACCCCAGCACCTGTGACCTGTGTAGGTGCCCCGCTGCAGGACTGGCCCCGTGCCGGGCTGGAGGAGCCGCAGGCTGGCACAGGCACTGAGGGTGAGCAGACGCAAGCCCTGGCACAAACTGTTGGGAATGCACAAGACTCAGCTGCCGTAGACCAAAGACGCCCAGTGCCAGGCCAGGAGGAGCCGGCCCTGGGACAGTGAAGCCCCTGCATGTCACCACGCTGCTCCCAACAAAACCCTGCAAGCAAGCGCACCGTGCCAGGGTGCTTGGCAGCTGGGGTGCAGAGAGGACAGATGGGCACCAGGCTGGCGTGGATGTGCCAACGATGGCATCGCCCAATTTCCGCCATGGGGACAGCCGGGCCACCAGCATTGCCCAGGATGCCCAGGACTGTCAGAGCCTGCAGGATGCATCCAGTGGTGTTGCAGTCCCCAGTGCCCTCTGTCGCTGTGGGCTGCAGCGGGGGCGCCGGTGATTTTAGGCAGCCAGCTATTTTTAGGAAGCGTTCCCAAGGCACTTTCACTACTCCAGCTCCTGCCCTATGGGGTACTGCTCTCTCCAGCCCCCGCCAGACGCAGGCTTCCATCAGCGGGACCACGACCCAGCCTTTCAGCACGCAGCTCCATCCCCGCAGCTCCCTGACGGCGCCAGCGTGATCCCGACACCCCAGTGGCTTTCTCCTGTGTTGCCCTCTGCTCCGGACCAAACGCATTCCTCACACGGATGTTTACGACAAAGCAAGATGCTTGTTTTGGGTTTTTTTTTTTCTTTTTTTTTTTTTAATACAAGAGCTGTGTATTTAAAAAATATACAATTTTTAATTTCTACAGCATAACCCTGCGGGATATTTTTTGTAATAAACAGTGCAGGACCCTACCTAAACTTATTCAATAAACCATCCAAGCTCCTGGGGTACCTTTGGAGCAAGATCAGCTTGTGGGGCCTCTGCCATTGCTGCTACGGTGGCACTGGGTCACCTCTTGTCCCCACCTGCTGGGACAAGGCATTTGAAAAGGATGAAGAGGTGGGAGAGGGATGCTGGTTCACATATAGGCATGCCTGAATGAATGCTTTTCTCCCCTCTTGGCACTGAGGGTATTGGCTTTCAACAGGTCATGTGCCAGCACCCCTGGAACCAGGGTTTCTGCAACCAGGCCAGCGCCCTCATCAGTCTCCTGAGGCACAGTGCTTCTGGTATCCCCACATCCCTCCCCCAGCCACTCATCCCAGTGTTCTGACAAACCCACTGAAGAAACAAAGGAATGAAAGATGGGCTGGGCTCAGGAGTCCTCCTCCTCCTCCTCCTCCTCCTCAGTCAGCATCCAGCATGCCCACATCAGCATTGCCTTTGATATCCTGAGAAACCAGACAGGAGGAGCCAGGGTGAGAAAAAACCCAGCTGTGGACATGCCACTGGGGCAGCTGGTGACAAGGGGTAGGGCAGAGGTTGGGGACTCACTATAGGTATGTGAGTCCCACTGCAGGAACAAGGGACAGCCACGAGTCCATGGCTGATATGGCACTGACCTGATAGATTGTACCTGCTGGCAGAGCTCGGGGCTCGGTGCCTCGTACTGGTACTGGGGTGGTCTCTCCATGAACTACAAAAGCAAAGGGGAGGGTGAGATGGGTCTGCTCCAGCCAGAGTACCCAGAGTGCTGCCCCATGCAGCCTGAGAGCCCAATAACCCCAGGACAACACCTAGGATTGAGGTGTCTTTCCCTCACTTCTGATCTTTTACCCAGATAGCTCAGCAGATGCTCCAGCAACTGTTTGTTCCTACCCAGTTGTTTAACTCAGGCTAAATCACATCTTCACCATCCCTGGAGGGATTTAAAGACCTGTGGATATGGCAGCTGGGGCTATGGTTCAGTGGTGGCTTGGCAGTGCTGAGGAATGGTTAGACTTCCATCTCAGGAGCTCTTTTCCAGCCTAAGTGATTACATGACTCCCTCATGATTCCCAGATCCTCCACCATCTACACTGACACCTGCATTCAATTTCCCATCCCCACCAGCCTGGTGAGGAAAGATCTTGGGGATGGACACCAGTGCTGTGGGCACAGAGAGCCCCCCCAGGCACCCCCAGCCCTCAGGGGACCCCACCAGCTGCTTTGTATTTACCGTCTCCCGAGCACTGCACTGCTCTGGCCTGGAGCTGGGCCCAGCTCCTGCAGGGGATGCTTGCTCTTCCTCCGCCTCCATTTCCTCCTCCTCCTCCTCCTCCTCTTCCTCCTCAAGCTCCTTTCTATTTCGCAGCCCTGTCTCCCTTCTGCTCTTCTTTGCACCCTGTGGGCTCCCGAGCACCGATCCTTTGCGTGTGCCTCTCCCCCTGTGCTTCGAGGTGCCTGGGAGATGCTGCTGCTCACTGCAGGCCTGCTCATCTTCCTCCACCAGTTTCCTCTTGGCAACCACAGTCTCTCCTCCCTTTGTCCTGGTGTGAGCCAGTCCAGGCTTCAACGCCTCTGCAGAGGAAGCTGTGCCACTGGAGCAGGCCTGCTCCCTGTCAGGAATCCTGCCAGGCGGCGATTGCAAGCTGCTGCTGGGCAAGACTGGAAAAACTGGAGAAAGAGTGGGCAGGGTGGGCTGAGAGCCCCTGGATCTCTGCAGGCTTTGATCAGCACACAGAGCATCCCAGGCTGCCTCTGCAGCTGATGCTGCCTCACTGGTGCTGATCTCCACCAGACTGGGATGGCTGTAGCAGCGGAGCAGGGAGGGAGAGGAGGTCTGTGCTGGCTCTCCCCGGGGTGAGCCCTCAGCAGAGCTCTGGCTGCACACTTCCAACAGGTCAGTGGTGTTGCTGTCAGCGGCCACATCTTTCTGGGTCTTCAGGGGAGGGTCAGATTGAAAGGTCTTCTCTAGTAAGAGGAAAAGCACAGTCAATTTGAGCAGGGTGGTGGTGGGACCTGTCCTGGCACACAGGAAGAGTGGCAGGGCTGGAATGATGCAGATCCAGGCTATGGGAACACCACAGCACTGCTTCATGGCCAGGGGAAATCAAGCCAGCATCATTAAGAAGAGTGGAGCTGTCTCCTGCCAGGAAGGCAGCCTGGATGCCCTGGGACATGGGGACTCACCATCTGAAGAGCTTGGGGTCAAAGACAACGAGGGCATCCCATTCCAGGGGTTGTCCAGGGATCCCCCCAGGCTATCTGACAAGGTTGGTGATGCAGCATCTGCAATGAAGAAGCCAGAGGGTTGATTTTAGCAGAGAAAGCAGCTGCCCATTCCCTGTGGGTCCCCTGTGCACAAGATCTCAGAGACAGCTCTTGAGGGGAGCTCTGCAGCCCTTTCCAGCCCAAAATGTGGCATATTCCAGTGAGATCCTCTCCAAGATCTCACAGGGCAGGCGGTGGAGAGGCAGACACTGCCCAGAGAGCAGGCAGCTATGAAGAAGGCCTTCTCCTACACCCTGCACTGCCCAGGACAGTTCTTCCCTTCAGCTCCTCCTCCACATGGAGCTTCCACAGGTAATTCTGCAGCAAAGCTTGGTGACACCAAGCCAAGTAAGGTGACACAAACCCAGGGTGGTGCTGAGCCAGAGCCAGCAAGGAGCCCACACCAGGGCAGGAAACTCACGCTCAGTGGTGGCATCAAAACGACTTCTTGTGCTCCCAGCACAACCAACCAAAGCTGCAGCTTCAAGAAGCTTGAGGACTGGGACCATCCCCTGCCTGCTCAACGTCTCCCAAAGACCTGGCCACACCAGTACCTCCTCCACTCAATCCAGGGAGATGGGCTGAGCCAACTGTAGAGGAAACTAAAGGCTGGATGGGATCTGGAGCGTTCATAGGATGCCATGAGGATGATCCAAGGGCTGGAGCACTGCTGCTATGGAGACAGGCTGAGAGAGTTGGGATTATTCAGCTTGGAGAACTGAAAGCTCTAAGGAGACCTTCAAGAACCTTCCAGTATCTAAAGAGGCTCCAAGAGGGCTGGAGAAAGACTTTAGACAAGGCCATGGAGTGGCAGACAAAGGGGAATGGCCTCACACTGACAGAGGGCAGTTAGATATTTTTAAGAAATTCTTCCCTGTGAGGGTGGGGAGGCCCTGGCACATGTTGCCTAGTGAAGATGTGGCTGCCCCAGCCCTGGAAGGTGTTCAAGGCTAAGTTGGACAGGGCTTGGAGCAACCTGGTCTAGTGCAATGTGTCTCTACTCATGGAAGAGATTGGGGCTAGATATTCTTTAAGGTCCCTTCCAACACAAATCCTTCCAGGATCTGCAGATTCTGCTACTCACAGCTGATTTGAGATACAACACTTGGGTCTCCTGGCACTGTCCTGTCATCACTACTCTTTCCAGGAGCTGCTTGGCTTGTATCTGCAATGAAAGGGGCACTGTTGGTCATATCCCCAGCATGAGGCACACCCAGAGCAAGGGAACTCTTCTCCCCACCCCAGGGAGCCCCTAATTCCACATGCCTGGATGCTGCACTGCCTACCTGTGTACCCTGCAGACACTGCCTCAGAAGAATCACAAACCACCGCCTCCTCCTCAGGAGGGATCACCAGGGCACTGACTGGGACCATGAAAACATCCTCACCCTGCTGAAATGAGACACATGACAAGGTTTTTGCTGGGCAGTCCCTCTCCAGATGCAGGAGTCCACCTTTGCCTGCCCACCCAACACCATCTCCCTCCCCAGCAAACCTCCAGCTCTGCCCACTGTCCTTTCCTTCCTTCTCCCACCCACCAGAGCACCCCAAGCTGTGCCAGCAGGACAGACTGACCTCCTTCTTGCGCTCTGCCTCCCACTGGGTGATGGGAACCTCGTCCTCCTCTGTCACTGGCTTCTCCTTTGATTTCCATAAATCCAAGCATTCCTCAGCATTTTCCTTCAAAATCTCCAGCTGGTTTTGTCCTATGGCATCAATCAGCTGAGAGACAGAGGGGTCTAGAGCAAGAACACACAGACAGCAGTGGAGGAGACAGCTGAATTCAGGCAAGCCTCACTTGCAAACACTTTTACCCTGCTGCATGACTTAGTGACTGTCATGACACTGAAACCTGTGGGAGCAGCCACAATTCTGCATTTCCTTTGCTTCTAAAAACTATCTTTCCTTTCTTCACAAATCCTGGACCAGGACCATTTAATGTCCCACTCTGCTTCAACTGTTAGCATTATCTCTTCCTGCTTTGGGCTTAGCAATATACACTTGTGAGATCTGACCAGGTCTGTGCTACCTCTGCCTAACATAGACCAAGCTGAGGAAACCCAAGGGCTCCCCCAGGCACTCAGAGCATTGCATGCCCCCCACAACCCTTTACCTGAGCTGGGAGCGTTCCTCACAGAAAGATTCCTCCTGTAATGACCAAGGAGAAGACAAAGCCAGGTTAGGGCTGGGACATATACAGCTCTTGGCCACAGGTCAAGCACCCTGGATTGGAAGAAGCAGTTTGTGAAAGCAGTGGATCCCTCACTGGTGCTGATCTGGCCACATGCTCAGTGTGCCAGGAATAGCCATCAGGAAGGCTCACCCCTGGAGATGGATGGATTGATTGATTGAAGGCCCTGGGGATCTCCAGTATTGGATCTCCAAGGATGAAGGATCAGCTGTGCAGAGCTGACCCACACAGCTGTGCTGCCCACCACTGGCAGGAACAAGCTCCCCTCAGGTGTTTCCTCCTAGCTCAGAGGAAGAGGCCGGCAATGTGCCACCACAATTTCACTTTTCCCAGTCTATTCAACTCTGTCACATTCCAGGGCAAGGAGTCACACAGGTAAACCAGGAGCTGCCATAATCTGTGCCAGCCCTTGCCAGCCTGCTCTAACCCCAGTCTGAGGCTGCACACATCAGGGTACCTGGATACATCCCTCAGCCCCATACTCACAGCCAGAGCTCCTTTATCTTCTTCATCACAGAGGGATTCTGGTTCCTGCAGCAAGAAAGAAGCCAATTACTGATTCCCTCCAAGTCCCTATCTCCCTTCTCCCTTGCTTTGGAGACAATCCCTCCTTTAAAAGGGATTGCCACAAGCAGGACTCCCAAGGTCAGTGCTGCTGTGGGGAAGATGAAGAAGTCCCCCTGAGCACAGCCCCACCCAGCCATCCCATGGGCCATACCCATCAGATGATTCCATCCTCTGCCTCTGCATGGGCAGCACAATGAACTGCTGGGCCGTGAGGTAAAACTCGCAGTCCTCCTGTGGGGAGAAGGCACCTCTGAGTCCTACCACTGCCCCTGCCCTCCCTGGGGGCAGCCAGCACTCCCACACCCACCCCAGCTCTGCCACCAACCCTCCAGTCTAAGAGAAGGTCCCCTCAAAAAGAACAGCCCCCCTTCAAACAGGAGTTTGTGTCTTCCTGTGTCAGCTGATGGCTCCACAAGAGCCAGCCCAGGGAGTCTGTGGGGACACCTCTGAACCACTGCAAGGGGACAGTGGGCTGCTCTGCCACCAGCCCATGCAGGCCCTTCTGCAGCTGTCCAACAGGCAGAGGTGACAGCCAGGTGACCCAGGGAAAGATGCACCCCGTTGAGGAAAGATGTACCCCAGCGAGGGCTCATCCCTGCCAGGTCAGCTGCCACAGGCCCCACAGGAGCTGCAGATGGAAATGAAAGGCCACCCATCACCTGCCTTCAGCTCCTGGGAGCAGGCAAGAGTGCAGGGAGCACAGCAAGGTAAAGAAGCAGGCTGCTTCCACTCCTCAGAGCACTTACCAGCCTGGCCTCGTCCTGAAAACACACCGTGTACTTCTGCAGGACGATAATTCTGCAATTAAGGCTGGAAAGCCTGAGCTGCAGGTGGGCGCTGGAAAGGGAGCAGAGCAGGAGTGCCTTGAAGAACAGAGCTGGACCCTCCCCTGACACACAGTGGGGCTCCTGCAAGAGCTCTTCCAGCCACATTGGGGTGTTCTGGAACATGTCTCAGCATGAGCAGCAGGCACCAAGGGCTCCTTAGTAATTCCTGCCTAAGAGCAGCTTCTTCTTGCTGCTTATCCTTGGCTCTCTGCTGCCAGCACCCCAAGAGTTTAAGGGTGTCCAAATGGGGAAATGGAGGAAAGCACTGAAGGAGCAACCCAGGCTACCATGGTTAATGATCTGGCTCCTTCCACAAAACCCAAGGGCTTTACAGTCCTTTCTAATGGCATCACAGCTTCCGCCATGGATCCCTACCCATCCCAACCAGCAGACACTGGAGCAAGAGCATTCCAGCTTTCTTCTCTGAGCAGCTCTTTCACACCAGCTTCCCACCCTGAGGTTGCTTTAGCTTAACACAACCTGAGACAAGAGCAGGCAGGAGCCCCAGGTGCTCCCAGCAGCTGTGCAGAACTGCTGTCCCAGCCACGCCAAGCCACGGTGGAACCCACTTTTCCTCTGCCTGCAGAGCCTCGGCTGTAATGACCACACGGATGTAGCAGGATCCGTCAGAGACCTGCACCACAGCGTCCTGGAGCAGCCCAGGCTGGCCAGCTGCACTCGAGTCACTCAAGACCTGTCAGGAGATTGGAGAAAGGGAATAAAAAAAGAACTCTTATTCGTAAACCTGGAACAGGTTTCACAGGAAGGCAGTCATGACACCAAGCTTTTCCTCGTCAAAAAAAATTAAAATCAGAGATGTTAAGGAGGAAGAGTTGCACATCCATAGACATCAAATTGGGAACCACTGTGCACTTCCCAGAATTCAGATTTCAAAGGCTGTTGGAGCACTTTAGGACAGTTGCTCTGGGTACCTACCCGCACCACCTGCCCAGCCAGGGAATTCTCACGCTCATCCACTTGATCATAATTCACCAAGAGGTCAGCAATCCATGGCTCCAGGACATAGAGTTTGGGAGAAGCCACAGTCTTGTCCACACACACAAGACTACACGAGAAGAGACAAGACACCGAGCCATAAGCAGTGCCCCATCACCCTCGGAAGGGTTTTGCACTCCAAGCACAGCCGCAAACCCAGGAGACTGCTCAAATCCACCCAAGTGCACCCACTTCTCTGCAAGCACCCATCCTAAGGGCTTTGTGATGAGGAAGCCACGCTGCTGGGGGCACACAGGTCCTGCTGCATCCTGCTGGGACAGTGGAGGGGGACACTCACAGCTCTGGAGTGTGCCTGGCCTTCTGCAAGTCTCCCACATAGGAGGGGCATTTATTTCTTCCATATTGTTCATTATCACCAATAACTATTCGCCTGGAATCAAGTCTTAACTATAACTGAACTGTGAAAGGGAGAAGAACTGGGGACAGGCAGGGGCTGGGAAAAGGTAAAGGTTGGGGGCAGGCAGTGG